AAGATGAAAAAGAAGATAATAAAGAAGAAGATAATGATGATTATATAAATGAATTAAAAGCTAACGATAGTGCTACTACAAGTGATAATAAAACTGCTGAAAATAATAATTTGTCAAATAAAAGAGCTAAAGAAAGCGTCACTATTTCTAGCAATAAAAATAAAACTCATTAATATAAGGTATTTATCCAGATTAGCAATAATACGATTTTATTAGTATAGTATATTGTATTCACAAGCTAGATAATTATATTTTCATATATATTATTGCATTAAGCATAGTGATATATTTATATATATTATAAATAAAACTATACAAATAAACAAATTTCGTTATTTATTGTTTTAAATATTTTTAGTATGATGTTTAATAAAATATATATCACTAGTTGTATAACATAAATAATATAAAAATAAATAAGTTAATAGCCTTATCAAAATGTCTATAAGTTTTTAAAAAAAATTGATAGGTATATGATAATTTGCCAGCTATTCTTAAACAGATTAATCTATCAGTTTATTAAAAGCAATATCAAAAATACTAATAGGCATATTAATTTTATTCTATTTATTTTTGATAGATGCCTTATATTAGCCAAAGTTCAAATAAATATAGGAGTCAAATCAGAAACCTATAAGATACAGATACCAGTAAACTATCATATTACATTAGGGGATATATCAGCTCATATTAACATCCCAATAGCTACCTGGTAGTTCTTTATTTGATCTGTATATAGCACTGTAATACTACTCTATATGTAAATATAAAATTAGTGTAATATATAAATCAAAACAATTTAATTTTTACAAAAAATAAATCTTTTAATTAGATTTAGATTAAAGCTGAGATTAAGGTTAGACAAAATATAGCTTATACTAAAATTTTACAAAGAATTTTTTTTATTAGAATACAAAAGATGGTTTTTTAATCAAAATTTTAAGATATAACTAATTTTTTAAAAATTCATTGTTTTTGTTATACAAAAAGGTGATCTGCATGTCATACCTGATCTTAAATTCTAATTGGTTAAAATACCCTAACACCATAGTGCTATAGCACTATAAAAATAAATCCTTATTTCTTTTTTAAAAAATTCATTATTTTTGTTATATAAAGGAGTGATCTGCATGTTACACCCAATTTTAAATTTTAATTGATTACAATACCCTAGCACTATAGTGCTATAGCACTATAAAATAAATATCTTTTTTAATAATTATTTAAAAATTAATAAAAATTTTTTGCAATAAAATTTTTAAATATTGTCTTTGTTTTATTTTGTTTATATTTATTTATTGATCGAAGTAATTTGGTAATTATAAAAAAAATTATAAATTAATTAAAAAAATATAAATGGTGTCAGAGCTACCTCGAAAAAGGATAAATGAGACTTGAACAAATTTAATTTTATTCATTTATCGGTATTACCTTTGACGCCTACCGTATGTTATTACTTAAGCACCATAATCTCGAATTAAAATTCAGCACTTATGACCTGTAACGCATGATCATGCGGCACATGTCAGCCAATCATTTGCGCTGACCGAATGATATTAGTATTAGATCGTCGTACTATACTGACCAAAATCTTTTTTAAATTAAGACTTGGCTAATAACTAAATCGATCAAGTGTCTCTTATTTAAATCCACTAATCCCTAGCAAACTTGCAACACTATGTTACGCGAAGACTAACATGCACTTTAACAAGTTTTAAATTTGAGTTATACAATTATCTGATATCAGATATGAATTTATACGTATGTATAAATATTTAAATACAAGAGTTGATTAGATTTAAAATATCGATAAAGAAAATAATCATTTTAACTTTGATGATGCAATATATATTAGAGCTAATAATAGTTTCGTACGACACGTTTCATTGAGGAAACAATATTTTATGCAAATTTTTTTTTCACCCTCGGCGCATATACATAATTTGTTGTGTTCACACGTACGTGCGTACGTACATACTATATCAGATAACACAAAAATGAAAATTTTTCGTAATTATAATGTTGTTCAAGCAACAAAAAAAAAATGTTTAAGAGTGAGTACACTGAAAAAGGTGATTAAAACTTGTTTATTTTTTCACAATATTATTAAAAAAAAAAAAAAGGTTTATCTGTTGATTATAAATATATTTAAGAAAAAAGCTTATATTTTCAAAGGGGTTAAAATGTAACGGGATCTAAATTAATATGATATATTGTTTATATTTGATTTTTTAGGTTGATGTTTACTTGTATAACTAAAATTATTTTCATTGCCTTAATGTAAAAGGAACAAGATATAAACATTTACCTGTCTGATTTCCAAGGCGTATTCATGCAATGAACATCTTAAGAGTTATACGAAAAGAACCTTGTTATACACGTACAATACGTACAATACGTACAGTACACGTACGTACGTACAAAAAACTTTATCCGATCTTATCACTGATTAAAAAAAAATTTGTTTATAATATGATTTTGCTATAGACGGGCATCAGAATATTGTCATACTAATTACTTTTTTTAATTTCGCCTCCCTCAATTAACATATTCCTCAACCAGTTAAACTATGATGCTACAGTAACCCCGGGCATATGACGAAAATGAGAAAAAAAGTTTAGTTCAAAATATGTACTTAATGTCTAAACCGAACTTTATAATGAAAAGTTCGGTTTATACAGAATTTATTAAGTGTTTATTAAGTGTTCGGTTTATTCGAGTTTACTCGAGTTTTACACAAGTTTTACACAAGTTTTACACAAGTTTACTCAAATTCACTCAAGTTTTACACAAGTTTACTCAAGTTCGATTTAAAACATTTTTAGCAATCCAAAATAAGAGAAAATAAGAGAACGTAGAGCATTTACTCTCAGCATTCGTATACTAAGTATGATGAAGAAATCTCGACATAAAAAACGAAATCAGATTTAAATAAAATTTTATCTGGAAATGATACATCATAATAAATATTCTTTTGGTTAGAATTAAGGATTAGGATTGCTTATTCTGTAGTAGAGTATAAGCCTTAAAAGAGAACCAAATTTCATTTTAATCTGATTTTCATAACTAGAGTCATGATTCGAGTTGAGTTGACGAGTCCAGGCACAAATTGATGATAATACTATGGACCTTTTATATCAAAAGTTAATTGTATTCACCATTAATCCACACTAAAACATTGAAAGTCTATATTGAAAACCACACCAAAACCCACACTAAAAACTATATTATTAGACCTCAGTGAAACTACATAAATCCACACTGGTACATGAAACACCGGAACCTATAAAACAAAACTTTTTTTATTAAAATAGTATTACAAGAAAGAGTTTTATTGTCTTTTTTTTTTTTAAAAAAAAAAAAAAAACAAAAATAATTTTTGAAACAATTTTTGAAACAAAATTTTCAAACAAAATTTTTCAAACAAAAATGACAAAAAATGACAAAATAACAAAAATGTTTTTTGAATTAATTAAAATTTTCAATATAATTAAAGAAAGAATGTAAAGATGAATTAATTTTTGTTTAATTTACCAATTTTTGAATGTTCCTTAATAGTATTTCTAGTAAAAAGATGACTCATACTCATAGTTAAACATTTATAATTAGCACCAAATTCCAATTTAATTTTCATATTAGGAAAAATTTCTTCAAGGTATTTTTTAATGTCTTCATAAAAATGGTTAATAATACAATAACCATTTAAAGAAAATTCTCTTAATTTATTACCTTCTTGAGACAATTGTAAATATTCCACATGAGAACCATCACGATAAAAAGTTATAGAAATTCGATCTATTAATTTTGCGATACTAGCACAAAGAACTTCTTCAATTGCATAAGCAAAAGAATCTAAAAGTTCACCAGCAGCTTTTTGAGCAACAGAAACTTGAGAAGTGAATGGAATTTGAAAGTAATTAAATTCTTGTTCAAGTTCGGGAAGAGAAACATGATGATAAAACTGAGGATGAGGATTTGAAGAGGTTGAAGGATTAGGTCTCCTTATAGGAGAAGAAATTTGAGATGAGATTGGTTGAGATGATATTGGTTGAGATGAAACTGGTTGAGATGAGATTGGTTGAGATGAAATTGGTTGAGATGAAATAGATTGAGATGAGATTGGAGAAGAAGTTGAAATTGGAGGAGAAAAACGAGAGTTTAATGGATTAATTTGAGGGTTAATTTGAGAGTTAATTTGAGGATTAATTTGAGGATTAATTTGAGGGTTAATTTGAGGGTTAATTTGAGAGTTAATTTGGGGATTAATTTGAGAGTTAATTTGAGGGTTAATTTGAGATCTATTAATAAAAGAAGAAGTGGAAGCTATTACGGCGGCGGCGGCACCAGTTGGAACAGTAGCATTATTAACTTCAGTATGTGATGATGGTAAGGAAAGAGAACAAGGAATTATAGAAGAAAGGGGAGAAGATGAAAAAACACTTGAAGTTTCTAATGCAGGACTCCATATAATTGAACCAGTACGATAATATTCCATAACATAATGAAATGCGTAACCGTTGCGATCAATGAAATATTCATTTCCATTTGTAGGGTGAAGCATTTCTTTGTTGCGTGGATGGAACATTGTACCGAGAAGGGTTTCTGGATAAGCCGTTAAAGTCGTTCGATAAGTTTCATACTAATTATTATTATTAGTAAATTTAAAAAAGTTATTTATTAAAGTTATTTATTCAAGTTATTAAGTTATTTAAATTATTATTTATTATTAAAGTTTAAAAATTGAAAAAGATATAACGTTAACTCATAACGATAAACTCATAAAAATATAATTACCTTAATGCCACCGACATTTAATATTATTTTATCATTAGGTATTGGGTCATCACCAAGATCTCTCGACATTGTTTCATTTTCGAATTCAACCTCAGATTCTCTGTCACTCATTTTTGCTTTTTTTTTCAAGAATTTGTTAACTATTAAGGAGAAAGAAAAGAAAGAAAGAAAGAGGTTTTTTTTTTTTGTTCAGATAGCAAATTAAGTTGAATGTGGCTATACTGATTTTTGTAACAAATTTGGTATAGTTATTAAGTGATCGACGAAAGTTTAGAGGAAAAACGGCAAGTATTAGTGGTAATGCAATAACCGATCCAATAAATTGATTGTTTAAAAATATGGCAAATGATTTTTTTTTTTTTTTGTACGTTAAATGAACGACAACAACAAAGAAAAAATCGAAAACTTTTTTTATATTAATTACAAGGAAAAAAAATTTGAAAGAGAAAGGTTATGAAAATCAATGACAATAAAAAAGATATATAAGGATATTGCTTTAATTTATATATTTACAATTGTGTTGATGTTTGTGTTATTTTTTTTTTTTTTTTGCAATAGGACAGTCATACAAAGCACGATAATAGATTATTTAGGTTACTTCGTGGGTATTGAATTTTAAGACGTAAGTACGTATGTACATACGTAAAGTACGCAGGTGTGTGAGAACTTTTTTTTTGTTTTCTTGAATTATTTTCCTACTAAAATATTAAAAAAAAAAAAAAATTAAAAAAAAAGGGGACAAAACAAAGAAATAAAAAAGAAGAGAGAAATGAAAGATGCAAGATTAATTATAAATAATATTTCAAAGTTTTAACAATGCTTGATTAATTTATGTTTACAACATGCGTGCATAAATGAGCTACATCATGCATGCATACGTAATTAGTCGGTTCGATAAGCCGAAAATGCAAATGAAGGTTTTCGCTTTGCCTACAAGTATATCGCCTACCAAGATATCGTTTACGAGTATATCGCTTACGAGTATATCGCTTACAAGTGTAGAGTACAGAAGCAGTAATGTTGATAAATGTTAAATATTGATAAATGTTGTTAGATATGATTTTCTTGTGAATGTAACAAACAAATTAACGAGACAACATTGTTTTTTTAAACTTAATGCATAATCGGAATAAGTCGTGAGATTCTTATTTCATTTGAATATATCATTAATATATCATTTGAATATAATAATAACTATAATTTAATGCAGAATTCTAAAGAACTTTGTTTTTCTTGCATAAAAGGTCTACAAATGGACATGTTGGCATGGGTATTAATATTTTATTAATATTTTATTAATATATTTTATTAATATTTTATTAATATATTTTATTAATATTTTATTAAGATATTGTATTAATATTTTATTAATATATTTTATTAATATTTTATTAATATATTTTATTAGTATTTTATTAATATTTTATTAATATATTTTATATTTGGATTTTGGAGCCAATGGATCGATAAAAGTTTATCCTATGTATACAATAATAACGGAAAGTTAGTCGGAGACGGACGGAGGTATGGACAATTAATTTACGAAAGTTACACGAATAACTTTACGTAAAAAATTATGCCATTTTTAATTAACGTTAATACATCAAATAAAACACATGAACTTAATAAATTTAATAAATTTAGAGGATTCATATTATTCCGAGATTAACAATCCTAAAAAGTAGGCCATACGTTTTTGAATTTAAAAAAAATACTCCATTTTGTGCTGAACAAAGAACACAAACGTATGATAAACATCATATCTTATATAATTTTTGTAACTTAACTTAGTCTGGACTACTACTATCAGACATATTTTATTGGGTATCCCATATCGGTCTAATTACAAACATGGTAAACATGGTGCAAATAACTTTAGTCTTACTTTATTTGGTTGGTGCGAACATCTTTGCTTTTTATGTGATCTGCTATCGTTATATTATTATTATCTTTATTATCTTTATATTATTATCTATCTTTATATTATTATATAAATATAGCGATGACGATTTATTCTCTTTCTTCATACTTAATATCTTTATATATATATTTATATATATCTTTATATCTATAAATACTGTATATATAAATATATATAAATACTGTATATATAAATATATATATAAATATATAAATAATAATTCATGCTACGTAATAGTGTAAATATCATGTAATACGTGTAATACGTATAATACTGTGTGAGCGAAATAAAATAGCAAGATAAATAGCAAGATAAATAGCAAGATAAATAGCAAGATAAATAGCAAGATACATAAGATCTTATTTAGATTTATTAGATTTATTTGTACTTCTTTTGTCACTATTTTGCACAAAATTACTACGTAAATAATTATAATAAATTTTAATATATGAATTCCTGGTAATAGATTATTAATTCGATTAATATTATCTATATTGGTGATGATGTGTGATTATTTACTCGATAATGTAATCCTACATTGGCTCACGTTGTTTAAGTAATTTAAGCGATGTGTATAATGATCATCGTTTTTAGGCAGGGACTAAATGCTACCTATTAAGTCTTAATTTCTCATATTCTCTGATTCATGGTGTTGGCTAATATGGTAAATAAATAAGCATGTAAATAATAATATATACTGTACTGATGTTTGCGTAAAAATCATACTATTCCTAAACAACTCCCAAGTCTTGTGTTATAACGATAAGAGCTCTTGCATATTTCAGTACATATCTCAGTACATATCTCAGTATATATTTCAGTATATATTTCAGTATATATTTCAGTACATATTTCAGTATATATTTTAGTACATACTTCAGTATATATTTCAGTACTTTGGGAACTTAACATTTACCAACCAAATTTTAATCTGTTTATCCGTGCATGTATAATATCAATAACTAATATCATATACGTATAATACCATCATGTATAAATATCATGTATAAGTATCATGTATAAGTATCATGTATAAGTATCATGTATAAGTATCATGTATAATTGTATAATATGTATATTGTCTACATCATACACGTATACGCATATACGCATATATGCATATACGCATATACGCATATACGCATATACGTACGTATGTACATTAAATACTACTGGATACATATTTCCGTATAATTACGTGTAATCATTAATATCGTTAATTGATATATATTACATCTCTTGTTTCGTGATTACAGGATTAAACTTAAATTTTTGTTTTGTTCAAATAAACTTTGTATAACTGCCTTTGTGTATAACTACCTTTGTGTATAACTACTTTGTATAACTCTTTATAAATTCTATGACTTAATGTCAAGTGATAACAAAAATGTATACATACATGCATATAAGTTTAACATTCGTTCGTTCGTTAACAAATAATGGTACGTACATACGTACGGTCATGCTGCAATTGCGTAATTGTTTTGGATTACGTGACGAAATTTTTCAGTTTCACGAATCTGTGCATACAAAAATACTTTATCTTAAATCGCATCGATCTTTAATTTTTAAATTAATATTAATTTTTCAAAGTCACATGGAAAAAAAAATATGTATTATTTTATTATTGTTACGTACGTACTTTATTTTTATTATTTTAATAACTTTATTTTTATTATTTTAATTATTATTTTAATAACTTTATTTTTATTATTATAATAACTTTATTATTATTATTAAAATACAGTTAATCTCTCTTACCCTGTTAAATGTACCCTTAATAAAATAATATGCCCAACCCATGATATACCCATGACATACCCATGACATGCCATGATATACCCATGACATACCCATGACATGCCATGATATACCCATGACATGCCATGATATACCCATAATATATTCATAATATAAAATAAGATATGTTGCACGTACAAGGTTTTGTCAAATAAATTGACCTTGTGGTTATAACTGTACGTAAGTACGTACAGCACATAAGTACGTACCTGCGATTCTTAAATTCCCACACATAATAGAAAGTTAAATTGAATTAATTTTTTTATACACAAATTTCGAAAATTTCGATTAAAAAATCTTTTTTTTTTTTTTTTTAACCCTAGATTTTTTTTTTTTTAGTGACCATTTTTTTATTCAGATATTTTTAAAAATAAGAATATGCCTGTTTAATTAAAGTTTTATATTAAAAAGCGTGAAAAGCATGGAATCCATTTATTTATTTGGTTATTTGATCAAATTGCTATTTTAAAATGCACTATAAATAAATAAATAACAAATAAAGCATGACGGAAGTTCAATTTTATTGGCTACACGTGTGTAAATCGCAGATCCTAAATTGTTAAATATGATTGGCTAA